CTCTGTAACGAGTGCTGAAGTTAGTCAAGATGGCCGCTATATAACAACTGCAGACGGGTCGAGTGTTAAGTTTTGGGACGCAAATCAGTATGTTTAACTTAAAACGAAGGTTATTTTATACTGGCTTCGAGTACACGTTAACTTTTGTGGTCTTTTGTTGAACAGCTTTGGATTGGTAAAGTGTTACGACATGCCTTGCGTTGTTGAGTCAGCTTCTTTGGAGCCAAAGTATGGTAACAAATTTATTGCTGGTGGAGAGGACATGTGGATTCGTGTTTTCGATTTTCACACTGGAGCTGAAATTGGTGAGTTGGCATTTAGTTTATTTATGATGGTTCTTCTATTTGTCATTCAGCATTAAAAATTACCTGGTTGGAATTTGCAGTTTCTTAGGGTGTGCATGGATATAAAAAATTTCATTTGGTTAATCAGATGAAAAGAGGTGGTATGGTTAGATGATAGTAGGATTTTGAGTTTATACTAAAATAATATTTAAAAGAAAATATTGAAAAGTTGATTTGATGTAAAAGTATGAGAGAGAAGATGTGAAGTGATAGTTAGTTAAAATTATGTGAGTATATAAATAACTTAAAGTGATGTGATGTGTAAGAATGATTAATTGATATTATTGAAGATAGTGAAGTTACGTTAAAATTGAGTTAGATTTTGAGTTGGATTGAGTATCAATTAGAAATTTTTATTTCCACAAAACTTTTAGTATTTTAATTTTCGACTACCCTTTTGGTCACTTGTAGGTTGCAACAAGGGACATCACGGTCTAGTCCAATTAGAAATTTTTATTTCCACAAAACTTTTAGTATTTTGATTTTCGACTACCCTTTTGGTCACTTGTAGGTTGCAACAAGGGACATCACGGTCCAGTCCATTGTGTGCGTTTTTCGCCAGGAGGCGAATCATATGCTTCGGGATCTGAAGACGGGACCATTAGAATATGGCAGACTGGGCCAACAAACAGTGCCGAGCAAGAATCTTCGGGTGCTAATTTATCTGAAGTTATTACACAGCAGGTTGAGAATGTGCACATCACAAATGAAGATAAGTTGGAGGCTAGCTGAAGTTGTAATTTTTCGTGATCTTCGTTTTTGTGTGTTGTAGCTTTGTGTTTTTGTTGCCTTGACTCAGCTGGAGAGGATTGTATGGGTGTTGGGGTAAATGTTACTGTCATATTTTTTATCTTTTGGATTAAAGATAAAAGAGCTCAATCCTTTTTTTATCTAGTTTATTTTTTTTGTTGATTGAATGTGCCTTATTTAATTTTTTCATGTGCAGTTTCAATGATTGAAATCTTCAAGTGATTATTACCTAGATTCATTTACATGTCAAAATCGTGAAAAGTGAAGAACTTGAACACGAGGGTTAAATTTTGACCAATTTTAGGGAAACTTCACTCTCTTGTGGTTACTTGAACAAGAAGGTTAAATTTTGACCAATTTTAAGGGAAATTTCACCCCCTTGTGGTTTGAGTCATCAGCTTGCACATGCGTGCGCGCATGCATGTGATCCGACGGCTCAAATCCCATTGTACCCACAACAATATGGTCGAATTCTCGAATTTTTAGTTCGCCGGCCCTTCTCAAGCGTCACATACATTTGGCTTTGGAATGACATGGATATCTAGTAAGTTCTAGAAAAAAAAAGGAGAGATACATATACTAGAGTCAGCTTCAAACCAATGCATCAAAATCACACCCATATAGGAGAGATGAACTTGGTCTCTCCATTTTGGGTAATAATAATTTACAGGGAAAAGAAAAAGTAAAAGAATACTCATGATGAGCATGCATAATGTAATAACAGACTAACTAACTAGTGGATAATACCCTAATGGCTTTGCATCTTGGATTTTGACAAAAGCCTTGTTATGAAAGGTGTAATAGCAGCAAGCAATGCTTTCGGGCATTCCTCGTGTGGAAGATGGCCACAACCCGATATAGCTACCAGCCTCTGCAAGAGACACAATGGCAATAAAAAATTTAAGGGATAAAACTAATGGAAGAAAGTGAAAACAGAGTTTAAGAACTTACAGAGTTTACAAGTTTCGAAGCCATAGCTTCAACTGATTTTACAGGTACAAGGAAATCTTCGGCCCCAGCAATAACTAAAACCGGCAAATTTACAACAGCCTTCAGCATGAATGCTGCATCCTGTGGTGACAACACCGTTTCATAAGATAGTTTTCCTATTTCATGGAGCGCCTCGTCCCAACCTTCAACATGTAACGGGGCCTGGTTTTATGTTTCAGAGCAACAAAACAATAAAAATTATTATTATTGAAACTTAAGAAAAATCAATCAAATGCACCCCACTAGATAACGTGTGTAGATCTGCAAGTGATTTAAAGAACATAATTTGCTCGAATGAATAAGCAAGCAACTTAATTCAAGAGAGGGTAAAAACTACCTTGTATAAGCTCAAGACTTCAGTGGTTAGTTTGGTTTCATCGTACCAAGCACGCCGGTTCACCAGTTGAGTAATTTCCATGCGAAGGAGAGGACGCAACAAGTGCTTTTTCCCGAGCGAAGTTCGCAACAATATTCTTGCAAAGGCAGGAACTAATTCTCTTGACAAGCTTACATTCATTAGTACAACCCCCTTTACTTCAAGCTGAGACAAAAAAAAAAAAATAAATAAATAAAAAAAAATGAAGTATCTCTTCAAGTTAGAGCCAACTTTATTTTTTCTATTTTCTTTTCTTCTTTATTTCTTTTGGGAATCAAGGTAAAAGCATATATCTGCCACAATGGACTCATAGTTAAAAAAAAAAATCCCTCTGTTACGTCGTGTCAAACGAAGAAATCATACATGATATTGATATGTAATGAAGCATATTTCACATGTGACATCTGGCATTAATGTGCTGCTTTAATACAAACTTTCTTTGAAGCTATTGAAGATTTCATCACCGTTAAAAATTTTTTAACAGTTGCAATACAGAAACAATGTCTTTTGATTTAGAAGAGCATCTTCCATAAAAAAATCCAGAATCTTCTGTCCTTGAAAAGTGTCTTGATTAAAGAAGCTAACAAAAAATAGAGGTTCGTTTATTACATCTAAGAAAATATTTAGTACACTCCAAAAGCACTCACTTTAATGGAATTTGCCGATAATTGGACCTTTTGCGCAGCCTTCAGGGCAAGCAAACCTCCATCATCATGCCCAACAAACACAACTGAGGAGAAGCCCATGTCAGAGGAAAAGGAAATAAGCAGGTCCACCTGAAAAAAAAAGGATAATAGATTACTCAGAAAGACTTTAAATTGAACAGTAAAGGTATATGCCAACAAGATCAGTTGACGAAGGGCATGCAAACCTCACCAATCGATTAATGAAATTCTCTACATATATGGAATTGATCAAATGAAGGCGATAAACTATTATCCAAGTCCCGCATCCCATAAAATATAATGACATTGTCCAGCGAATAAATTTTTCTGGTTCTGGTTATGAAATTTAAATCATAATCTGGAAAAAATACTCTAGAGAGGACTTCCATAATCTGTCATAATTTAGTACAATTAATATGTGCCATGCATATAGCCAAGACACCGATCGTGAAAAACAGAATTTACAGGAAAAAGGCAGCACTAGTTACTAATCATTGAGCTTTAATAATTAACATGAATGACATGTCAATACTCAGTATAAGCATATAACTACAAGAGAAAAAGGAGTTGGCTTTATATCTGAATTTTTTCTCTCCCATATAAAGCCATAATTTAGATATCCAATATCTGATCTTACATTAAGGGGATACATAATGATGCTTCAATTATTCTCTATTAGACATTAGGGACACTATATTAGGAAAACTCACCTGATTTTCAATCTTGTAAGGATTATTCAATCCATTTCCCTCCCAATCCTTCTTTCTTGGCCTCGACGTTAAACCCCACCCAGGCCTATCAAAAGCTGCCACAGCACAATCCATTTGCCTGGCCAAAACGCCCATCACATGCCTCCATGAGAACACACCCCCTCCAAAACCATGGACAAGAACAATTCCAAATCGTTTGTTCGCCTCCAAATCCTGTTCTATTGGTTGAGGCCCCATTTGCCTTGCCTCATCATCCTCCATGCAATTTTCATTCAAGCTGAAAATGGGCATATCCTCGGATATCTGGGAAGCTGGTGAACTGAACAAAAGTGGTGTGTAGATTGTGGATGTGCTGCAATGAAATTGGTTACTAATGCTCCTGTGGAAATTATTGCAATGGGATTTTAGTGGTATGCTAACTGAGGGCTGATCGGGAAAAGTTCCCGGGAGGATTAGCTTGTAATGTACTGTCAATCCTGTCTGAAAAGTGAACAAGCTGTCTTTATCAGCAAGTAAACTAACTGGAATTTCCTTCTCGTCATGCATTATTAGCCTTGGTGCTTTCCTCCTTGTTTCACTGTTGCATCGGAAAGCCTTTCCAGCTGATGGAATTGGTGACCTGGGGGCCTTCTGGTAACTGGCGAGTACCATTTTGCAAGAAAGGGCCTGATGATAATCGAGTAAAAAGGAGTTAGCAAGAGGTCAATGCAGAAAACAGGATGATGAATTTTACAAAACCAGAGTAACATTTGTGCGTGTGTCAGCGTTTTCAAATTGCAATGCTTCAGATCGGCATAACGTAATCATATAATCTAATTATAGTGCTTTTGGTTAGACTTTTGCAAACAAATAAGCACTGGTACAGTTTATTAATAATATTCTCTATGAACATAATCAATCTGAAGATTCGATTTGAGATCATTACCCATTAAATAACTTCTTCCAACAGCTTTCTTCTTTCCCCTTTGTTTTTAATTTGGTATAAACGTTATGCTTACATAAATTTTATAGACTATACGAGAGTGACATCTAATTTGACATCCAGCTATACCTTCTAGATCAAGTCCAACCAATTCTCCTAGACCAGATATTAATAATCACAGGACAACGAACATGTTAAATAAGAGGAATTTTCATGAACTTACGGCTTCTGGGTCAAATCGTTGAAGGATAATTTTCCGTCTAGCTTTGTAACTTGTGCGATAGGCCACGACAATGTGCCCAAGAGCAAATACTACAGAGGAGAGGAACAAGACGGGCATACCCCAGGACTTCTTCAAATGGAGCCTCTTCCTTGAAAGGGAAATTGAAGCTACCTCCTCGAGTTGAGAATTTACGGTGAAAACACAAGCCTTGAAGGAAAGTAGCAGCACTGAAGCTAAAGAAGAGAACATCACGGTTCCTAGATAGGGTCCATGCGAAATTGATTGTCCATCACTAACTAAATATGTACCTGTTTACATTTTAAAAGGAAAATCCATAATAGGGAGGAGTTTAGTTTACAAGTTACAACTTCAAGCAAGTTTTCATAAGATTGCTAAATTCACCAATCAAATACGATCGCGTGAGACCAGGAGCATTCCCCATATTACAGGTGAGTTCAGATCGAACATTTAAAGGTACGGTTTGCTTTATCCTAGAAGCACGAGGTAATATTGCAGTATCCTGACTTGTTTATGACCTTACAAGAAAGAGATTGTAAGAAAGCAAAATGATAATTCACACTTTACCAAGCAAAACAGACAGCCATCAATTCTAGAAAAACCATACTTTCAGCATTAGCTTATCAATCAGTTCTTCTCGAAAAAGGAAAAATAGAAGCTCAAAGGGCATAGCAAAAGCAACCACACACAAATTTACAGACAAAAGAAAACTCCTCTCTTATTATTCCATAACTATTACTGCATAACTTTAGATCCTGCAATTTGGGCAATTCACAAAGAGATAAATTAACAAAGAAAAGGGAACAAAATTGGAAAACTATATAGAAAAATTACTCACAGGTGATGACGAAAGATCTGATTATCGAAACAATAGGAATGTCGATAAGCGAGGTTCTGAAAGAATATCTCCGCAAATGCTCCCGAAAGCCATAGCATTTCACGCACGTGAAGCTCGAAATCAACAAGCAGGGCAAAACGACGTCGCTTACAGCCACCACCAGCGGCAGCGCCATTACCAGAAGCGACGCCGCCATCGCCACCACGAAATACGCCGTCCGCACGCCCCTCAGCACTTTCTCCCGCCACCAACCTCCTCCCTTCATCACCATCTCCCTTTTCCTTTTAATTTATTTCTTCAAATCCCTTTTTCAACAATCAAATAAAGGATCCAAATATCAAAATGGAGAAAACATTGATTTTCAAGTGGGGCCCCTTGCAGTGCGGCTATGGCGGAAAATCAAAACCCTATTGAGAGATGGCGACGGCGGCGTATTGGTCATCTGACGGCGCCGGCGATTGACCGTTACTGACGCCACAATCAACCGCTACGATAAAAAAATCAATAATTCGAAACTCCTTCAAAATCTTGTTTTATCCTGAATTTCAAAAAATAAATTCAAAATCAAAATAGACAGTGATGAAGAAATTTCTCCGATTTATTTATTTGTACATGAAACATACTTCACATTGGAGTTCTCTATCGAGAGAGAGAGAGAGAGAAAGAGAGAGAGAGAGAAAGAGAGAGAGTTTTTGAGTGTGAAAATAACTGAACTTCTTCTTGGCGACGAGGTCCATTCTGTTATGGCTGTACTCTTCTAAAATGGTTTTTAATTTTCATTCGTTTTTATTTTTAAAATTAAATTGTTAGCGTGAGGATTATTACTCTATGTTAAACCTCCTCATTATCTACTTAAAAAAAATGATACGATTCTGTTATGGAACCATTCCGTCGGGTTTGCAGTCGTTAAATCATCATGTAATTGTTGAAGATAGTTGATCTAACGATTACAAACTTCGACAAAATGATTCCATAACGGGAATCATAGCATTTACATATCGTTAATACATTACTTCCGAATTTATTACTCTATTTCTTTCTATGACTTTTTGACTATCTTATCTATCTTTTGTACTTAAATTTTTCTCCTTTGTATACTTCAACATATTTCATACATGGAATTGTAAATAAATAAGAGTATAAATTAATCAATAGTGAAAAATAAAAAGTTCAACCTACAACGTGGTCTTCGTGTTTTTGTATATTGTTTCTCGTATTATATAATTTATAAATATGAAAAAAAATATCTAAATCTAATTATTATTTATTATTTTTTAGGCCGAGTTTCAGATTGAAAAAGTATAGTATCTATCGTATTATTTATTTTTATACGGCTATCGGCACATTGCAAATTATTTATTAATGGTGTATTATTATTATTATGATTATTATTATTTGCAAATATTATATTATGTTATGTTATTATATAGTTAAAAAGGAAAAATTACTTGTACCCCAAAAAAAAAAAAAAAAAAGGAAAAAGTACAACTCCCGCATGCGCCAGTAAAACGGGGTAGACCATAACTTTTGATCAATTTTGCCTTTTGCATATCCCAAAGATACAGTGACATGTACCTTATCTTTTTATGTTCTATTTGGTTTCGGTTATATATACTATAAAGTATAAACTCTACTATTTAAAATAAAATTCACTTACTCAATTTATATTTTAAATATTCTTTTAAAATTTTTTATTTGAAATTTATTTCATAAAATGATTGTATTTAATATAATTATTATCATGATCTATAGTATATCTATTATATATTTATTTTTTATTATTATCTGTTAATATTATTTTCAAAAATTGATTCCTAAAGATATGAGAATGAAAAAATCATGCATTAATTAGTTGGCAACTTCTATTGCAATTGTCATTCTTTTCTAAATAATATATCAATCATGAAATTAAAAATGAGTAAAAGAATGATTATTCTATTCATACGTCATTCTCTCATACCGACGGTGAAATAAATTTCGTATTGAGAAAGAATAAAATTAAGATTCCAAAAAGTTAGATCTTATAATGAAATTTTCCCGAGACGGACCCAGTGGGGCCCACACATTGTCGCCACGTGTCTCTCCATCACAACGGTCATGTTTTTCGAAATGGCTTTTATTGTCCTGGAAATTCAAGTGGTGTGATTCACACATTTTTACGAAATTATAAAAATTGTTGTTATTAATTATATATGCTACCATCTAATAGAGTAATGCTTTTTGTCGATACATTTTAATATGTCTACCGCTTATGTGGCATGCACACATTAGTGATGTATTTTTTTAAACATATTAACATCAACAATGTGTGCATACTACATAAACGGTGAACATATTAACATATGCCTACCGTGGATATGTGAGCATTATTGTCATCTAATAATATGATATTATTTTTAAAGCTTGTAAATCCACTTTTATCATAACTCTTGTAGCATTCCTAAAATTGGCTTTTGTATAAATTAAAGCACTATGATATAATACAAATGGGTTTATATAGTTGAACATAATATGGTCTGAATAAGAGTGTAACTCTTATTGCACTATATATGTAACTCTCACCATGCTAACTCTCACCACACTATATATGTAACTCAAATAGATTGATGACAATTATTTAAAAAGGGTTATGTTAGAATATCGCTTTTGAGTTGTCCCACATTGATTTGATAGCGTAAATGAGTCTAGTTTATAAACCTAGTGGGCTACTCCTCCCATCACCAATTGGTTTTAGGATGGAACCTCACTTGAGTTTCATTTGGGTTAACCCTCTTATGGTGCGCTTCACCTGTGTGGGACTGCACTCATTTTGCTCCCGTTTGACATGGATCAGATCGGTCCTCATTTGGGACCTACGATGATTTAAAAAAAAAAAAGGTATCCGGCCTGGTTGTAGGCGTGGGTTGAAAAATGTACCCGTGCTAGTTGGAGGCGTGGGATGATGAAGGGCTCACAAGTGAGTGGGCGTGTTGGAATATCACTTGTGACTTGTCCCATATTGATTTAATTGGGTAAATGAGCCTAGTGGGTTACTCCTCCATCACCAATTGGTTTTAGTCTTTTAGAACATCACTTGAGTTTCATTTGAGTTAACCCTCGTAGTCGTAGGTGCGACCGCACTCGTTTTGCCCCCGTTTTACATGTTGTCATGATAGTGTGCCCAATAGGTCATGTCAATGTGATCTCACTAATTGTGTGGATCTTCATCTCATGCTTTTATTCAATGAAACACTAATGAAATATCTCTAAAAATTAAAGGTGTTCTTTATTATCATAATGTGTTCCTTGATTCTTGAAAGAAAGAAAAGTTCACATATAGTGCGGTTGAGCTGTTCATATGAAAACTTTAAAAAGACAGGAAAAATTGTGAAAGATGCTCTTGATTTTGAATATTCATGAAAATGAACTCATTTATTTGTAAAATAGTAACTTAATTGTCGGACAACAAATATAGAATTGTTAAACGAAATGAACCGTCGGTAAGCTTAATTAGACTAATTAAAATTAAAAATCAACTCGTTAAGGCGTAAAAATAGAGTAGTTTATATAATCTTTCATAGATCAACTTGTAAATATTGATAAACGAATCAAACTCAACCTCATTTATAGGTTCATTTAGTTAACAAGCCAAGCTCAATAAATGATCAAACTCAAATATCAAGAGCTCGAGCTCAATTTGGCTTGTTTACACCTCTAGACAAGCATAACTATTAGATAATTATACTTTTTTTTTTTCAATAGATGCACATACTTTCAAATCAAAATGTCAGTCTATCCAAGAAAAAAAAGTGAGAGAGTCTAAAAATAAGTCTTTAACATAAGTATGCGTCTGTTTTATAAATAAGATGGGACATATATATATATATATTTTTTTTTTGATAAAAAGAAGGAGGCCAAAACCTAACACCTCTAAATAGTGGTATTCCGTGGATAAGCAACGCCAAATACATCATGCATTAACCACGATTTGACTTTTATCGGTCGATCAATTAATCTCTGGCATGGGACATATTTAATTGACCTACCAAATTTTGCGTTTATTAAATTATAACAATGGCCTACCAAATTTTGGGATGACAAAGAGATGTATTTACGTTACTATTTTGGGCGTTTTAGACATGTGGCTATATTTATTGACAAATGCTACGATTTCGTTACGGTATTATTTCGTTGGGTGTTTTAAATGTTGGATTATACTTTGCCAAAACTGCCTATATTTTTCCCGCTTAAAATTTTTCGGATAAATTTGGCAATGTTTTTGTTAAGTCGTTTTATATTGATTTGGAGGGGAATTCGCATAAATTTGGCAATTTTTTTTTTTTTTTTAGATATTAAAACTTACAGCAAGCAAGCAGTTAAAGATACCTCAGAAAAGGGTAAAATTTATCACCATATTCATTATACTATTCTTTTTCAGCCAAAAAATGGCTAACCATGATTTGGTAAGCCAACAAATATTGTTGGCTATAATAAATTACTAGATGGTTTTCGGCTGTGCACGCACAGCCGGCCCAAATTTAGTTATTACTCTGGCGAACATTTGGTGTTTATTAAACACATGTATAGGAGACTCTAGTTCAATAACAATAAAAATGAAAATTTAAATACCAAAAAAGCTAAAATGATAACCAGCAAAATAGGGAAGATCACAAAAAAATAATAAATAGAAACGGATCGAAGAAAAAGAACGAATTCCAGTTTCATATTCGTCAGAATCTGGTGGTGAAATGAAGAAAGTCTCCCAAGTCCAATCTTCCTGGAATCCAGGACCGTAGGCACGTCCCTGCTCAGTCAAGGCCCAAAATCAATATCCCGGTAGTCAC